CATGTTCATTTGACATCATCCAACTAGGACCTCCAAAATGTAACTTTGGAGCAGAAGGGGAGAGAATCAGAAGGTCCAGATTCAAAGCTGTGGTGAATTGCTCCTTTCAGATAAGAGCGAGAGTCTACACATAGTGAAGGAGTTTTAGTACCTTGGGATCCAGTTTAGGTAAGTGAAGGTAAAACCTGAGATTGACAGGTCGGTTGGTTTAGCGGCTGCAATTTTAGGTGTAATAAGCAGATCTGTGGTTAGATCCAGTGAGGCTCATAGGCAGTCTAAGTCGCCATCTTCACTCATGGCCGTTGGTCATTGATAATTACAGAATGAAACAAGGTCGTGAATAAAATCAGCAAAAATATTTTTTCTCCCCAAGGATTCCAAGCTCACTCTGCATGATGGATGGATGGTACTGAGTAACTTGTAGCTCACTTCACTTTCCTTCACGTGTACAAACATGACATGAATAATAATAATTTGTACTCCAGAAAGCTATGTGTGGTGTAGAAGCTGGTGAAATTCGAAATATGCCACAGTATGTATTTGACCTAGACTACAGTCCTAGGACAATACAAAGTAGAATAGTACTCTTATTTCAGGTGGCGAGTTAAGGATCACTAACAGGAAATTCTGGGCCCTCCTGACAAAATGAAAAATAGTTGGAGAACTGAAGGATGCACTAGGGGACAGATCAACTCCTTTGATCATCAGTTATGACAGTTCAATTATGTTTATGGTGTGTGTGTTTGTGGGTATACCTTACCTTATGGGGACACAATGTCCCCACAACATGATGAATACCCGAATTTCCTGGTACCCATAAGGGAAAACTCAATTTAATAAAAATCTGTGACTGCAATGAAAAAACTTTAAAAAATCCTGTATTTTGCTTGGTTACTTATGGTTATGGTTAGGGCTGGGTAGAGGCTAAGAGTGTCATAGTTAGCGTTAGCAATTTCCCATAGAAATGAAAGAGTGGTCCCCATAAAGATGTTTACCTGACTGTGTGTGTGTGGATGTTTATATTACATTGTGGGGACCTTTTTTCAGGTCCCTACAAAGATCTGTGAATGCAATCAAAAAACTAAAAATACCAAAAGTCTCATATTTTGTCTGGTTATTTATTGGTTAGATTAGGGCTGGGTAGGGGTTAAGGTCGTCATGTTGGGATTAGAGTTTTTCCTAATAGAAATGAATGGAGGGTCCCCACAAAAATATAATTACAAACCTGTGTTTATGTGTGTGTGTGCGCGCATGTGTGTGTGTGTGTGCGTGTGTGTATATAGCACTGAATTTATCTATTTTAATATGCATATTTTACAGGAGAACAAAGTCCCCATTACCCTCATTAAAGCTATTCTGCCATGAACTTCAGCAAAGAAAAATAGATTCATTTAAATGTATTATGCAAACTTTGAATACATGGAAAGAGAAACATACACTTTATTAGGAACACCTGCGCACCTGCAAATATCTAATCAGCAACAGCCCAACGCATCATATCATGCAGATACGGGTCAGGAGGTCTGAATGGGGAAAAACATAGTAGGTTGTGGCAGATAGGGTGGATTGACAAGCTGCTGATCTCTGGTGATTTTCACAGAAATAGTCTCTAGAGTTTATGCAGAAAGGTGTGAAAACCCAGTGAGTGGCAATTCTGTGGGTAGAAACACCTTGTTGATTTATAACATCTTATGAACACTTCTTGATAAAAAAAAATAAGACACAAACTTGGTTGGCAATCATGGGCTCCTGTCAGCAGCTTTCTGAGAATCAGAAAGTTTAGATAACTGACTCTTACAAAGCAGTGAGAGGATAAAAAAGAGAACTAAATGCATCCTGCTTGCGGATTTCAATGACCAAAATAAACAAATTTAAGTTAAGTGGAACTGTTCAAGTCAAGGAAAGATTTGGAATATTAAGAAGAATCTCTGATAGAAGCATTTGGAGACTGATCAAAACCCCTATATCAGTACAGGAGACTCACTGAAAGATTTGGTTGACACAGGTGTAGCAATGCATTGTTCCACTGCGCAAAAACATGGTATGCAGGGAAGAGTCATCAAACGAAAACACTCTCATCACAAAAGGCAACAAAGTTGGAAACACAACATTTAAATTATCCATCCTTTTCAGATCAAGTCCTCTGGTCTCATGGAGTTAAAATTTGGCACAAAAGATGTGTCTGCAGCAAAAAGAAAAGAAGAATTATGTTATGAACAGGGGTATATCTACTGAAGTCTACTGTCCTCAACACCATACAGCCAGCATTGTTACAAAGCAGAAACTTTGTCTCGTGCATGTGGACACATCCATTGTCTCCTGCATTGTGGATTACGTGACGGGCAGGCCGCAGTTTGTGAGACTCCACGCCTGTGTCTCTGACACGGCTGTGAGCAGCCCAGGGGACGGTTTTGTCTCCCTTCCGTTGCCCTGTATACCCTGAAATTTTCTGATGATGCAGCCATAATTGGTTGCATCAGGGAAGGTCAGGAGTGGGAATGCAGAAACCTGGTGAAGGACTTCAATGGATGGTGCAACTCAACATTGGGAAGACCTAAGAGAGGGTGGTAGATATCAGGAGATCAAAAAAACCCTGTCTTCAGTCACAATTGATGGAGAGGATGTGGAAATGGTGGATACATACAGATAGGAGTGCATCTGTAATACAGGCTGGAGTGGACTGTGTGGATTGGGCCACTTCTACATCCTGAGGAGACTCAGATAGATAGATAGATAGATAGATAGATAGATAGATAGATAGATAGATAGATAGATAGATAGATAGACAGATAGATAGATAGATAGATAGATGTGAATCAAAACCAACCAATCAACGAGGGCACAGGGCAACAAGACACAGGTGAAGAAACCAACACTAATGAACACAGAACTAAGGAACTTACAAGACCTGAAATTAAGGAAACACAG